GGTTGAAAATACATGATCATTGTGGTCCTTTTCAACTCAGGCCATTCTATGATGATTCTGTGATGATGAGGAGCTACGAACTTGATGTAATTTGTCATTTATTCTGATCACAAATTACCTATGAATTAGTTTGAGTTTAAAAACTTGTTTGTCATTCTTGATGGTCCAGACACTTCATGGAACAAAAATATTCCAGACTACTGAGTGCTGGCAAGATCTTTGAGTAGCTGTTTGGTACAATCAGCCAAGTAAGTTATATAACACACTTCTAATTCTTACTTATATCTCTGTTAAAAAGGAGGAAATCAATAGCTTTCTCCCTGCTGGCCAGAACAGAACCTGCAACAGTAGAAATCTGTAGATTCAGTTGTTCTTATGCCCAGTGTTATATCTCCACGACGAATAATTAGAGTACAGCTGGTACCACTGCTGCTGTACCATGGAGCAGTGAGTTGTGAAAGAACAAATTCTATCACAGGTCTCCTCTCCTGTCTTGCACGTGCAGGTGAAGAAACTACCACAAAGAACTTCTTGATCTTTTCAGCATATGGACCATTTTCAGTGGATACACAAACTTGATAAGTGAAGTCTACTAGCAAAAGGTTTGCTTTGTTTAATTACACTGTCATGAAAATATAGCTTCTTCCTGCAGTCTACTACTGGCCTATGCAACAAAGGCTGAAAGATGCTTCTGGCTACAGAATCCCAGGAGTAAAGTTCATAAACACAAATTTATATAAAAACCTGAAAAATCTCTGTTTTCCACATAGGGTCTTATCAATCAATTCACTTATTTGCATATCCACAGAAAAGAAAAAGAATTATTAGGATTACAGATGCCATAGCAAGCTTGAGTTTTAATACACAGATGACTGAAAGTCTCAACTTCTTTTTGGCAGTGTTAACCTTAGATAAGAAAATGTGTCTATTCCTTAAAATTCTTTGTTTCATTCATGAAGACAATGGTTATTTGCTTGAGGCATATAGTTACAGTTTCAACAACAAAAAATAAAATGGATATTGATAACTTTAAGCAGATCTCATTCCTGCAGCTTTCCTGAGTGGTGCTTCCTGTCCTTCCCTTCCGCTCTTTAGAGAGCTCATTCTGCTGAAGAGAGCACTAGCTTTTAATGAGAACCTTCTGCTCGGCTTGTATAAACCAAGACTCAGGGACATGATTTAGTGGAGGGTTGTTAGTTAGGGTAGTATGGTTAGGTCATGGTTGGACTCAATGATCTTTAAGGTCTTTTCCAACCTGAGTGATTCTATGATTCTATGATTCTACACAGCTGAAAGAGTAGCCCTTGAATTCATGACTGAAGCAGATGAACAGATAGCACAAGGCTCATGATGTGGAGGTGATGCTCTCAGGAGCAGGAGAGATGTACACCACCAAGAAAAAGGTCGTGCAGGCTGGGAATCATCCCTTCTTTCTCTAGCTGCCTGTGAGAGGCTGTCTCACATGATCTCCATCACAGGCTATTTCATGCCTCACAGGTGGCTGCTCTTCTAGCCTGCGCTAACATAATCTTATGCTATGTATTTCAGTTACTCTCTGCATAAAAATAGTATACATGTGTAATTCAGGCTGTGATCCAAAAGTCCACCCCCTTCCTGACACGAGGGATTCATCTTGGAGAATACCTCATACTTAATTTCACTCACTTCTCACATTCCCCTCAAGTTCCCCCCTTCGCTTCCCCCCCCTCCCACACACGTGATGTCGAGAGAAGGAAAAACGGGTAGGAAGGAGGGCAAGATTCCTGTGTATCATCTCAGGGAATGACAGAGAGCCAGATCTTCTCCCACACTGACTGGCACGCGGCAGCTCCAGGAGAACACAGTCTGCCAGCTATAGGGCACGGCCAGCCCCTTCGTTCATCTGCCATCTGCAGCACGTACTGGCTGCAGGTGCATGCTGCTCAATCCTGCAGGAATTGAAAAACAGACCATACCCTGCCATTTACTTCTGCCGGCGTCTTTGTCTGACTTCCTCCAGAGCTTGTTGGGACGTGACTTAGCCCCAGGGCCTCAGAGACACCCCCAGGGCCCCTGTGCCACTGTGACCTATGTGATGCAGTGAACACTGGCAGTCGATGGCACCAGGGTCTTTGCTACAGCACTTACTAAGGACACCAGCTCCGTTGTCTCCCTTTCATACCAGCTGCTCCTTTTATGAACCTGAAGTAGGGACATGCTCTACCAGACTCACACGAGGAAGACTACACTGGATTACAGAAAATTCTGCTCCAGGACATCACCAAGTAATTGTGTCTATCATAGTGGGTGGAAGCAGTGTGCAACTGATAGTTTGTTCCATAAAACAGACCACAAGCAGGTGGGTTAATCAGGCTTCTCCAGGCTGTACTTGGTCTGAAATTGAATTTTTGGCAGTACAAGTTTAACGTATCCCCTGGGTATGAAAAATTTCACCTGAATCTTCTGTAACATTTATACAAAGAGTAATGAAAACACAGTTCACAATGCAGAACTTGCAGTTCTGGGTTACTACATAAAACCCTGAAAACATCCCAGCTTTTCTGTTAAGGAAAAAAAAAGTGAAAAACAAAAGAAAGGAAAAAAAAAAAGAAAAAAATGACTGTAAACAAATAGAAAGTGTTACTTCTCCTGTCCAAACAGTACTGAAGCAAAGCATAAACAGCATAAGGTCTTTCTGACCACCTGTGTATCTGGTAGCACATCAGCACATAAGTTCTGTTGGGGTATTACCGATTTAAGGCACTGGGCACTAGTGAACATGCACTGGTCTCCAAGCAGTGGAACACTTGGTTTATCCAGTATTGCCCACTTTCTTGCCCATTCCAGTGGCTTCTGACCCTTTATTGCATTTGTGTTTCAGAGACTACAAATCAGTGACAACTACATGCAAAACAGAAGGGAAACTGAACTCAGGGGTTGGAAAACAGAGAACTTCCCTTATCACAAATATACAGGCACAGTAAGTAGGAAAAATACATAGCAAACCTGCAAAGCATTATTTTAATGTGTTACATCTCTGTATTGCGGGAATCAATGGGAATTTTGCCATTTACTTTGCTAGGAACAAGTTCAGATGCTAGATGTGAATACTTCACATCACCATAAATATTAAATATCATTTGTTTTACAAGTGTTGCTCAGTTCACAGAGAAGGCTGAACAGATCACAAGATCTCTTTTCATCCTATTCCTACAAGCAGATTTGTGTTCCTCCTGTTTCCCTTCATGTGTGGGCTGTATGATACATGACAGGATTTGGTACAGACAGTAGAAAGCTATTCTACTTGGGTGTATTATTGCTGAGTAAAATTTCTATGAGAATGCACAGGACATTAGCAGCTTCATTAAGAGAACAGTTCATTTATGTTGGACTATGTGCTGTGCTTTGCAGTGCAGAGTAGGGGATGCATCTCCAAAGCAAGGTTCTTAGCCAGTCAGAGAGAATACCATAGAAAAGGATTTGTTTTGTAGTTCATTTGTTTTGCTACCACTGTTTTTCACAGTGGTGATTGGGATGAATGGTGGTATGGACAGCCAAAAAGTACTGCTGACATCAGTGCACCAAATAGAAAATCTAAGACTGTTAAAAATCCAAACTATCTACCTAACAAAATAAAACCATTCAGGGTGAGTCCAGCCACCTGCTGATAGTGCATCCAGCACGGCTACAAAATCTAGATTCATCCCAAGCATGGGCTGGGAGCCTATCTCCTAGCCTTTAGAAGGCAGCTACATTCTGCCATCCTTTACGGACCCTTTCCATGGGAGGGAAGGCACAGCACCCGCCGCCTCCAGCAGTCCTGCAGCAGCAAGAGAATTGCTGGGGCAGATGTCTACACCTCAAGGTAATCCTGGTGTGGGGACAGTTTATGGGGTTTGCCCTCCTAGGAAGAGGGAAGGTCAGGATTTTCTAAGTCAAAAGCAGCACTGTGAAGTATAGGATTAGTCAGAAGTGGTAGGAAAAGTGTACAGGAAATCTCCTCTACAGTTTTGTGGGGTCTTTTTTCTTCTATGCCTACAATGGAGACACAGCACCTTCAATGCAGTGGGAAGCTACATTCACTTAGCTCTGATTTTGAAAACTTCCCTCTGAAGACAGTGAGGAATTAATTGCTAAATAACAATAGCTCAAAAAATCATGAAAGTACTGGACTGGAGAGTTTGATTTATTGCTCTGTGTTCTGCAGGTGCTTGCACTAAAGGCTGTGACAACAGCACACCTCAGAGTGCAGCACTGCAGCTTTGATACTATTACAGCTTATATCCCAATGCCTTCCTTTCTATAGGAAAATTCAAAGGGACTTTAGTAAGCTAACATTTTCCTCTGGAACACTCCTGTAGGTGAACAGCATACACACAGGAGTAGCAACAGCTTACACGTGCTGCATAGGTTGGGGGTCACACTTTAATCAGAAGGACTTTCAGATTCATTAAGGAATGAAGCCACCTGGAACAAATAAAGCAGGTGCCAGTGGGGTAGGAGCTTTTTTTTACTGCAGGGTGAGCTCCTGTATCAGTGTACGGGAGCTACAGGAGGGTCAAGGTAGGATAGGATCTTTGATTTTCCCAAAAAGGAGCACTTTATTCGCTGCCAGACGGCTCGTTGCCCTGCCTGCTGTTTCAGGTGTGTTTCTAAGGCTCGCTCTTACAAGGCTCCGGCTGGCCCCAAGGTGAGGTAAATGCAAGGATTTCTTAATTAGAAGGGGTCAAACAGAAACATAAAAGGAATTACAACCGCAACTTAAGGATGCATTATCTGCATCTCTCACTCGGGACTTGCCAGCAAGAAAAACAGAATCCGCGTGGTTCCTCGGCACTCCAGCTCCGAGCTCCTGCCTTCGTGACCCTGGGAGCCACACCGCGATCTGCGGACCCCACCTCCCACCTTCCCCCTCCTCAGACCCCGGGCGCGGCCGTCGGGCGGTGCGCGAAGCGCCGCTCCCGTCGCGAAACTTTCCTCAGGGGCTCGCTCCCTCCCTCGGCGGCGGCGGAGCTCCTTACCCAACCCTGGCACGAAGGTGTTGAGGAAGAGGCAGATGACAGCCACGGGGAACGGCATGTAGGGGATGGCTGCGCGCAGGGGGCCCTTCTTCTCCCGGACCTGCACCACCACCCCGCTGGAGGGGGCAGCGCCCCGGCTGGGCTCCCCGCCCGCCGCGCTCTCGCCGTCTTTGGGCAGGGGATCCATGGCCGGAGCAGCGCTAGAGGTGCCCTGACGGGCTCCCGGCTGCCGCCGAGCTCGCTCCCGTTGCCGCCTGGCCCCGCCCGGGGGCTGGAGCGCCCGTCCCCCGTGCGCGCTCCCGCCGCCGCCAGCTCAAACCCGGGGGTGCGCGCCGCCCGGCCGGAGCGCGGTTCTGCCCTCGGGAACGGGGAGGGCACCGCCGGGGGTCGGGAGCTTCGGAGCGGTGGGAAATAACGCCCCTCGCCTTCTTAGCATTGGGGCTTTCGGGTGTGGGGAAAGGAGCGAGTTAAACTCTGCTCGTTTCTTGTTGGGAAAGTGCCGCTGTTGTGGGGAGTGAATGGAGAGCTGCAAGAATTAGTAAAGCAAAATGCACTGGAGTTACTTGTGGCTCGGGACGATGTGGAAATCGGGCTTTCACAAAGTGAAATGTCCTGTAGGGCTGGTGGTCGTCAGGCTGTGTGCTGCTGAGTGGATGAAATTGCCCAGATGGGGCAATTCTTGTGTCCATCCTTGGAGACATCCAAAGTCAGGCTGGATGGGGCTCTGAGCAACCTGATGGAGATGTAGGTGTTCCTGATCAGCACAGGAGAGTTGGACCTGGTGGCCTCTGAGGGTTCCTTCCAGCTCGAATGATCCTGTGGTTCTATGAACAGTTTGACTTCAGTGAAATTAGTACACTAAACATGTTAAGTAAAATAGTTGGCACTGGTGCAGAATGCACTTCTTAGGTTATGTGTGTTGGTTTTCTGATAGCTGGATTCTCAGTAGTAAAAACATACGCATCCCATCTAAAATGTGTCATTCACTCAGAAAGTAATGCCTTTTTCCAAGGAAACTACAACAGATACAAAGATCACAATAACACTATTACAATAGAGCACATTCTCAGCTATGAAACGCTATTTTTCAATGTAGTTACCACCATTAGCTGAATTGTGTGGATGAGCTGGTTGAGCTGCTCTTCATCTGTGGTGTGACAGCTGTGCACGGCTGCCCAAAACATGGCTTGTCTTTCATGTTGCTGCTGCACCACCCACTGCATTACTGTGCTCACATCAGTAAATTTGTATCCATAAGTGTTCAGTGAATGTCAGTGGGGGCCTTTTTTCCTTCATGGAAAAATTCAGTGACGCCCTTTTGCTCCATGTACATTTCCATATCAGACACCACTGTGTCAGGCTGTCCCTGTGCTGCTATCAGTCCCACGGCATCAAAATATAACAGGATACGACTGAGGAGGTTCAGCCTCTGCTACCATACCACCAACATCCACCTCTGATGTTGTGGGCCAACATCATAAAATAGGAGGCATTACTTTCAGAGCAGCCCTTGTATTTCAATGGTGGGATTTGTTTGCTTGTTTGTTGCGTGCCTTTTATCCAAATATTCTCCTGATCTCTTTCTGATTAAACACACAGCTTAGACATGTTTCTGCAGCATGCTGCCAACCTGGCTTGGCCAGAGGTTATTTAGTTTTTAAAGTGACATCATTTATTACTATGCAGATAGTTCTTGACATTCTTTTATATCCCCTATGCATAAAGTCACTTCCTAGAGAAGGGTTTGACGGAAGCAACATGAACTCTGTGTTTCTCTTTGGGTTGGCCAAGCCACAGTCAGGTGACAAATCCTCATGCCATGAATATTGGCTAATTAGAACCTGTGTAAAGCAACATGCACAGCTGGAACATAATCAGTAACTTGCAGTGATGTAATTCACTACAGACTCAAGCAGATGATGAGCAAGTGTTGGTTCTAGAAACTGTGTGGGTGATCCCACTAAAAGCAGGCAAAAGACCATTGTGGAAATCTCCCAAATAGGGAGGAGCAGACAGCAAAGAAAAATTGAAACAATATTTTGTCAGAAGTGCTTAAGAGGAGATTGTGCTTTTATGGGGTATTTCCTTGGAATATCAACAAAAAGGAGTTAATTTGTTTATTTCCTGTAAGGTCAGTGAGCAGTGTGGTTAGTTATGCTGCAGGGCGAAGCTGCTGTGAGAAGCACGTGCTGGAGCTTCAGTCAGCATCCCCAGGTACTGTGTGCCTCAGACTTGGAAGAATCCAACGTGTGGCTCATGGGCACCAAATCCCCAATCAGAGGGGATAGCCTCCTGGCTGAGTTCAGGAGTTAGTCATTCATGTTAGATGTTAGCTGACTTTCGAGGAGCTATATTGTGAGATTTTTGTAGTAGAAGGCTTTTATTTTACTGGGTTTCAGTGATGAATAACCAGGATGTATTTCAAATAATATTTTTTTTCTTCTTTCCTTTCCTTTGTGAAAGGAGGTAATCTGCAAAATGAATACCACTGGCATCCCCACAGTAAGCACAGGTCTGTCTCTGAAATAGGCCCTGCTGCTGAGCTTGTATCCTTCCCAAAGCCGCTGTCTTAAGTATCACACCAGCGTGTTGAGAGATACAGTAACACAAACCAATTGAGAAACGTGATTTAAAAGGACAACAAGGAGCTAAGCAGCACTATTGCTCGCTAAGGGTTCCCTGGGGGCAAGAGGAGATCTATGCTCCAATTACACCAAATTAACTACCATGTTTCACTGAGTGTTGTGATTGGTGAGTTTAGTTCAAGGAGCCTGCTTTTGCCTGAACATAAAAGGTCAGTAAGTCTGTTCGTGTGCAGGAGAACAGAGTTCTTGGATCTCAGATCTAATAGTGTAATTAACAAATCCATTCTATCAGATGAAATTGGAGATGGAGAGCTAGGGTGAGAAACACAGCTCTGTGCAGAGGTGTGGCTTGTTCACCTGGTACCATTTGTGGCCCATGTAGACTCTGCTGTGACAGGACCGTTAAGGTCCTGAGACCTTCACTTCTTGCTTACATGGTACATGTGTACATTCTGCACACACAAGGCTGCTGGTGAGGTCACTGGGAGGCACTTTGGGTTCCAATAAGAGCTGCTCCTCTGGCTCCTGCCTTCCTTTCCAGGCTATGTTGGCTCACAGTGGAAGGGGGACCCACAAAAGGATTGAGTCCCACTCCTGGCTTCACACAGGGCTATCCAAAATTCAGACCTTTTGTCTGAGAGGCCAAGCAAAACTGAATCTGAGAAATATCCAGCAATAATAATAATAATATCCAGCAAAGTTGCGTGTTTGTTCACTAATGTGTTTTACTTTCTCAAGTCCAATGTCAAGACATGAGGGCTTCTCCCTCATACGCATATCAGCCTTGTCTAGTGCTCCATTTTAGAAATTGCCTTCCAGCACTGAGTTAAATGTCAGTTGTCATGGAGTTTGAGAAAACAGATGACCTTGACTTAGAGCAGCTGGATCAGGGCTTGCACTCTAAAATCTCTAGTCTGTCTCACCACATTCAAGGTTTTCCAATAAAGTGCTTAAGTGAGACATGGATGGAAATCTGGAATCCATTCCGTGAACACTTGCATCCTAGTCTTAAGTTCGGGTCTGCTGCCAGTTCAGCTGCTTGTTGCTGCCTCAGACTAACGTGTCTTAGGCTTGTCAGTCTGCACCTGTCTGAAGGACTGATTTGGCAGCACCTTTAGCACAACTTCCAAAGATTCACAGAGGTTCACTCTGCAATTTACCTGTTACTGTTCCATGTTACTGTTACTTTTACCTTACTTGCCTACTAACACCAACTGCTTGTCAAATAGGAGTCCTTCACTCTGAACTGCATCTTATTGGTATTTCTCTGCTGCAGAAGTAATGTTCTTTTTCTTATTCTTTTATTCTGTCATGTAAAAAAAAAAAACAAAACAAAACCTGTTGTTAGGAACGTTCTTGAGTGACAAAATTTAGAAGCAGATCTTAATTCACTTCCAAACATCCCCCAGGATCTTTAGGGAAGGAAGGTAATTGCATATTGTGCAAAATGAATAGGGCAAGGACCAACGCTTTTTTTTCTGATTTCTGCCATTGAAACAAATACTTCTGGAAAACATCAGGAAAGCTATAGATTTATCCTATTGCACCAGCAGCTATCACTGCCATGAGCAATCATTTTGTGGCACTGGCCACTTATGTTCTCTCCATAACAACTATAAATGTATTTATCCCCATTTTTGCTTATGGAAAGTCTCCTTAACTGCTGCAAGAAAATCATTTTTCTCCCTTGCATAACCTCATTGCCACCTTTTTATGGCCCCTTTCTTCTGTGAAACACTTTATAATATAGCTCAGTCATCTTCATTATTCACCTAGCATTGCTGTGCACTTCCATCATGTTCTTTGATGCAGCCAGTCTTTTCCACTTCAGCATGAACTATTTGGGACAGGCATTGTATGGTGCTCCTGGATATCACATTTGGTAAGCATGGAGGGCATGATGAAGTTTCTATGAACTAACTGTTGTGATGTTTACTGTAATGCTTAGTCTTCTCATCCCACAGCTCAGTAGGTAGGTTATTGTGCTTGGAAATGCCCGTGGCTTGCTGTTCTGTTTGGGCAGTGTTGAGGTTTTTTTTGTTTGTTTTTCCAGACCCAATCCTACTCCTCATAAGTCACCTTTTTCCTCATTCCTGCTGATCACAGTCCCTTTGCTCAGCCAGTCCCAGTATCTCCACTTTTTCATTTTTCTTTTCTGCCTTGCCTTATAGCTTCCAGACCTAGTGTCATCTAAATGCTGTAAGTTCTTGCTGTCTACCACCAACAAAACTTGTTCCTTTTCCATTTGGCTTTAAGACTTCTAGTCCCCTTGCAGAGTGATTGCTTGCAGCAGAAGGACACAGAACAGACAGGCCTAATTATTTTTTCCTCTTGTGCCACATTCTGGTCAGTCTTTAGCAGTTCAGAACTCTCCCAGGTCTGGTCCATAATACTTAACGTGCTACCTTGGCAAAATGTACAGCGCTTCATCCAAAGCAATCAACTTTATCTAACATAGCTGTGTACAGTCCCTACTTATACTCAGAAGCCTAAAATAAACCACAGCAGAACTGCAGGTAGGAGAGAGATACCAGTCTCCATAGAGGAGCACTAGTAAGCAGCTACAAATGTCTAAAATTACAGAACAAGGAAATATCCTGTCTGTTTAGTCAAGCATCTCTCAGTTTGGGTGCTAAAATACTAAAC